CCTTAAACTAAAAATATAGTTTAAAAGATTTTAATTTTAAAATGTATATACTTAACAAGTGTGAATGACATAAATAATGTTTTATAATTGACAATCTTTGATGTGTTTTCGATGGCTGTATGGACTTATGGTTTAGAGGTTTAGACTACGGTACCCAATAATTATTTAACATATATTATATAATATTTATGGTAGGTCCAGGTTAAGCAATATTTTGTGTTTGACAATTTTTATTTAAACATGAATGACTAAGTCTCCGGGTACACGATGTTTACTTGTGCTAAAATAATGCGTGTACCTAGATGATAACACAAACAATGTAAAAAAAAAAATAGGTCTTGGTTTTTTTTATCCCAATTTTATTATATATTACCTACTCGCCCATAACGGTTTTCGATAATGATTAACAATATTTTTGTTTTTCAGGTGCGACGAATACAGCAGGCAGTTTGATTATTCTGAAATGGCCATGCTCAACCATTCGGACATGTCGTCATGCAAGCTCAGCAAAAGCATGGTGGCCGTGATCGCCATACTCACGGTGTTCGTCGCCAGCCTTGGTACCATAACCATAGTTCTGTCGAGAAAAGTGCGGTTGTTGGGCCGCCGTCCCAGGATTAAAAAGCGCATCGTTGTGAACAAGAGTATCACACCGTTGACGTGCCGACCGCCGCAACAGGAGAACCAACAGTGCGAAATAACCATCGAGAACTGTTGCAACATGAACATTTGCGAAACGGTAAGCCCCAAACGCCCAGTCGGTGTTGCAAAAACTCWAAACGATTCGTTATACAATATTATGGCTTTTATGTACATGCATTATATTCTTCTACGCTTGATTTACGATGATTCGGATTTAATACTATGTCGACGTTTCGTAATACGTATTTAGGTGCTAAATATGGTAGTTTTTTTTTTACATGTTTTTAAGAATTTGAGTAAACATCATAAATTATATGTTTTTATTAAATCGCGTAAAAGTCTCTTATTTTACAAAAATCAAATCAAATAATTTAAATTTCGTTCAAAGTTACATTTTGGATTTTACGTCTGTGTATTTGATCAACGGGCTATAAAGCTATTTTGAGCCTAAGATTAATCGAACGACTGTTAAGATGAACAAATGTGTTATGGTCAGAATATTTTATGAAATATGTATCAAATTTAAAATAATGGCACCCTACAGTTATTATGCTAATAACTTATAAATTAAAATATCTTATTTTATAACATTTTCCGAGTATTTTTGTGGATAAAGTAGGTTACTTACAATTTGTAAGTTACAAACATGTTATGCACTGTTATTGATGTATAGTTTTCACATATTTTTGAAATGTTGTGTGCATATGCATATGATGACTTATCCTTCAATAGTGTTTGCAYAAAAAGTTGGCCCTAGTTATGATATTATAAATTATGTGTATATCATTACTTATTAGTTATTATTATAAATAATTAAAAATATTATTTTTGTTTTTAGCCATGTTTTGAACCGGATTTCCGATCGCCAAAGATGGGAGGTCTTATGTCGTTGGGCAAGTCGAAAAAAGAAGACAAAGCGAACTTGCTGAGCAACACGGACATATCGAGTGAAGACGAAAAACCGTTATATTAATGTAGTTGTGGCATAAAATCGAAATGTAATTTTTTCGTTTTTACCAATGTTTTTACTTAAGGGGCTGTATATGCATAACACGTTGTACGTTGTTGTCGTTGTTATTGTAGTTGGACAAATTTGTGATATTCTACTATTATATTGTTTCTAGCAATTCGGTTTCCATTATTTTTACGATTTAAACCGTCGAGGAGAGCATCATTTTATAGCATTACCTTCAATTATTTTTGTAGAAAAATAATTAAACGGAAGGCTCGATTTAAATACCGAATATTTTCTATTGAAACGTATCGTGTGTTTGCGAAAACTTTGTACTTACTGTACTGCAAATACGATTTATGTAGTTCCTTCGGTACGACACGTTTGACTGAATGCATGTGCCGCTTTTTATTTTATCCAAACGCGCAGCCCCCTCAAATCCATATAATTATATTATTATTATATTTTAATATTAATTTATTATTATTATTATTATTTATTTTATTTTATTTTTTTAATAAGCTGTTTTAAATACAAGACTGGAAATTTGTATCTATTAAGTATTTTTTTTTCGTTTTATTGTTAAAAACTAGTGAAATTAGTGTATTGTCGTTAATATAAGTATTTGTATTTACTTTATATTTTGTAAATTAAATATTTATCTTTAAAAATAAAACCATACATTCATGATAATATGTATGTTATATAATATTGTTATATATTATATTATACCTACCTAGTGTTAAGTATTTGCGAATTTTTTTTGTAAAACGTCGTCTCGTAATATATATTATATATATATTGTTATTACTTAATTCTAAAATTTTTGTTTTTTATAGCCTATAATTCTATTTAATTGCGGGATTCATGATGCTCAATATTTGATGTGTTTAAAACTAAAGTGTAATCCGTTAAAACAACCACTAGTGTTTTACGAAAAAAAAAACTGTACCACACACTTTCTTTAATCAAATCAAATTTGTGGTTGAGTGTAGGGGTGAGGTATTAATATTGTGTATGTGAATTTGTGCGATCAGACATTTTTAATTGACGAATTAATTAAATACTGTATATCAGACGTTCCCAAACAGTAGGTCGCAATTATATTTTTAATGGGTCGAGTTAAATTTTTAAATAATACATTTTTTATGCATRTGTTTAGACGATACGAAACACCCCATACAAGCACGAAGTTTAAATCTTCCTTTTTTTTTTCAAATAACTAATAAATTCGTTATCGTTTTTTGTGCTTTTGTGCAGCTGAATAAAATTTACACTTATATATGCAGCAATGAATACTTTTTTTCTGGGAGAATATTATCATTTCAATCACACAATAGGTAGCTATTTAATTTTCTTCGACCAATGGCAACCGTTTTTAATGTACAAAAAAATATTAGATTACTGTTTTCCGGAACAAAATTCTCGCGAGACTTCGGCGAGGAGGATTTGAGCACATATATAGACAATTCGAGGAGACACTTTTCCAATTGTCGAGTTCATTCATGTTTGATAGATATTGATGAGAAATAGCGACAAGTGAGCGCAGGTTAGAGCCCCAAAGGGGCACTTTTTATTATTTTTGACGCCCATGTTCGGACGTTAATATTTTCATTTTCTTGCGAATATTGTCTGCGGTTTTACATTCTCGTGCGAGCCATTCATAAGTAMAATTAGTTTGTCGACCAAAATTTTAACGTGCCTCTTCTTCTGGCATATTTATTWCACATTATAAACAAAAAAAAAAAACTAAAGTGGCATTCGTTGACTGACCAGTGATTAGCACTTAWTTTAATTTTATGAACATTTTATTACTACCTATAGCTGAATAATCCTGTTTCATCTGTGTGCAAAATTTGCATTGTAATTTACAACTTATTTTTATATTACAAGACATAAAGATTGCCTTTAGATCGTTACTGTAATCACTAATCAATATCATAATCAGGACAACCTTGTTTCCTTAAAAATAGTTGTTTCTGCCGTTTCTAGAATGTGGCCATGTGGGTACTCTTTTAAAAAGTTATAAGGTCTTACGACGTAGCTGTAACATTATTACATTAGGTATATAAAAATTGGTAGCAACATTTAAATTAATGTATTGACGTATTGTTTTCATGCTAAAAACTTTTTATACAAAAAATTTGTGGTATTKCTTTTTGGGGCTAAAATTACCAACAACCTTGTTGCCTGTTGGGCATGTCTATATGTACGCCCTATAATTTTTCTTTAATTAGGTAGTCTATATATTTGGAACCTATGTCCAAAATTCAGTTTTGGGTAAATTACTTTTAAAAATTAATAAAGTTACTTTATTTGTTACTCTAATAAAATTGTAATGAAATTACTTTAGTTTTCAAATTGAAAAGTAACTTATTACAAAAAAAWTTTTTTTTTATATTTCTTAACAATATTATCATTGTGTCTGGCAATAATGTTAGGTACTAGAAATACATTACCTATAGTAAATAGATATAGTTTGAAAAAGAAATCAATATAATACATTATTATTATTTTACATTTATTTATGTTTTAAATTAACTTTACACAATAGTGTATCTTCAAAGTTTTTGTCACTCATAGCACCTTTTTTTTAGAACAAATATCCCCTGAAACACTAAATAATCGCTCTACAGAAGCACTGGATGGTATAGCTGTGTTGTATTTAATAAAAATATTCTTTACTAATGTCATTGAATGCAAAATTATGAGATCAGCTGTATAAGGAGCTTTAATAAATATATATAGTATATTAATATACTAGATTGGTAAACATAATAATACCCGCATTATAGACATTTTTTTTTTTTCAATTCGCAAAAAGTAGGTACTTAATAATTCGAAACAGTAACTCGTTATTCAATACATTACAATTCCATTACATTTTCGTTACTTGGAAATACTTCTAATGAAATTACGTAACGAGTTACAAGCAAAATACCGCCATTACAGTAACGCGTTACTTTCATTACGTTACTACCCAACACTTCCAAAATTATAAAACTGTAYTACATCAGTAAGAGTTAGTATGCCACTGGTGGTATCAGGTGTTTTTATATGTAGTAACAATAAGAGTCCAACAATGAACAGTCATAAATTTGGGTAGCAAATATGAGATGTAGAGCTGAAAAAAAATTTTTAATCAGCAAAATACTAATTTTTTGTTTTAAATGAAAAGACTTGGGTTATATCTATGTGACATATTTTTTTTACACAAATAAAAACAATAATATAAAATTAAGTATAAGGTACAGAATACAAGCATATAAAAAATGTAATACAGTTATACAGATAATGGGCAATACAACATAATATCAACAATGTACAGTGCTTGAATAGAGAACAAATTAATAGCAAAGGTGTWAAGTGTCTTATTGATTAGGATATAGTTAGAAGTGATACATATACATTTTTTTTACTAAAACAAGGATATGCCCCCCATATGATTCAAACACTGACATTGCATTAATGCACAAGTAAATAATATAATAACACAATTACAATAATTCAATTTTGAAAATATTTATATAACCATCAAAATACATAATATTATACACATTATTCATCTWCAAAATATACCAATATTAATATCCTATATATTATATAAAGGATGGATATTGTAGATAATACTATTCATTATCTATAAATACAAGTATTATTATTATTTAAAATATAGTTGTATATTATTGTTATTACATATTTTTGAGTACTTATGGAAAACTATTACTAGTTTATGAATGTTAAACTCATAGGTATATGGTTGGGTCATGAACACTATAGTATGTATTTTAGGGGKTTTTTTGCTATTATTATACATAATAATTATATCACACAGTATAAACATTTAATTRGGCATCTTTATATGCAATGAAACTAARACTAAGATATTGACAATAATGCATTTTTATATAAACTCAACTAAAAAGTAAATTTCACTATTGGTAAACACAGAGTATTTTGTTTAAATCTAATTGTATAAATGTTTCAAACATTTGTAAAGGAYGGGTTTCAAGCTTATAATAATTATATTTTATGTRCAAAAAAATATGAACACAATAAGATATCATTCAATGATAAGTGGATGCTAGGTGCAATAATAATTATTCCCAAAATAAGCGATTGAATGTACTTTGTGTTTGTAAAATTCTTACTTGTTTGTAAAATTTCAAGGCATGCCCAAGTTTCAAACCCATGTTTGATATGATATCATTCCGTTGAAGTAATTGTATAGCACGTCCATCAAGATCCTAGACATATAGGATACTTTTAAGTATAATGTTACCTATTTTTCACTATAAATTATAGATTGTAAATAGTATAAAACTATTATTTTAATAAATAAATAAATAAATAATATCTTACATATTTTTTTATTTGATCAATAATTTCTAGGGGTAAAAACTCGGCTAAATACTCAAGCACTTGATCTTTAKTCCATTTTAATATATTTGGGATATTGTTATTTTGATATGCATCATATTTTTCATAGTCCGATGAACAAGAATAAGATCTATAACTTCTAGAATCAGTGTCGTATTCGTCAGATGATATAGACACAATACTAGAAACGCGTGACTCAACATCGTCTAAATATATATTTATAGTCAATAGTTATGTATAATATATTATTTAAATTGTCCAGTTGTACCTTCAATATCAGGTATTACTATTGCTTCATTTAATTCTTCTTCTTCTTCTTCATCTTCTTCTTCTTCTTCGTTTATTTGAGTAGCCAAAGTCGCACAAGGAATACATACATACATATCGTTTTGTAATTTATGTAATGGTTTTATTTCATATGATTCATAACAAATGGAATGCAAACCAACTTCACAAGTTATGCAGCGGCGTTGTATCTTCTAATGAAATGGAATTTCTAAGTTTTTAGCTATTAATAAATATTATTATTTATACTGACCGACCGGGAATCGTCTTTGAGACATTTGCTACAATTTCGTTTTCTGCATTGTTTACAGAACCAAGGACATAAATCTAATTTGAATTTCCACACAGGCTCCTCAACTATTAAACAGTGTCTATGAGCTATAAAAATTAATAAACATTTGAAATAAAAATTTAAAAAAAAAAATATATATCTATTATTATTACCTTTGATCAAACAAATTGGGCAATCAATTAATTCTGTCTTTCCTGAAATTGTTGAACAAATAAAACAATTTTTTGATCTTTCCTGATTAACATCTGGAGTAACACTTTTTACTGGAGAATTAATTGGTGAAACRATTGAAGATATAGTATTGATTTCAGTTGATGAACTATCTARCAATTCAGTTACTGGTTTAACCGGCAGACTTTTTGACTTAGTGGCATGTTGTTTTCTTCTTTTATCACGAGGTCTATCAGTTGTAGTTTTTTTTACAGTACTAAATTCCATGGATTTTTCATTTTTAAAAGAATATTTAGCTCTCTTCTTTGGTATATGATTATCAGATGGATCGAATACCACTTTGGCTTTCTGTAATAAAAAAATAAATTGAAAGTAACGTCACATAATTTAGTAAATTAATACTAACCATATTTCTATGAGGTCTTGCGTGTACAGGTTCATCATGCTGAATTATTTTCTTCTTAGGCATTGTTATTAATAGAAATTTACCTAAACAAATATAAATGATTAAATAAATTAAAATTTATATCAAAGGTAGATGAAAGTAAGTATAGTTATAAACTAACAAGTACAAAAATATTTTTTTAATATTTCAAGACTGGTTGTATTCTATTGGTTTACCTTTTTAYATAAACTGATTAAAATATTTAATTGTTAAATTGTGTTTTTATAAATACAACCTATTATATTTTTATGAGACATACAATAATATTTTATTTATTTTTTTTTTGATCAAAAATTTAATACATCAACTAATTATTACCAATCACAATAACATAATATTTTCTTATGATAGGTACCTAMAACAAGCGTCAATTGTAATAATTATTTAATATATTTTTTTTTTCTAGTATTGTTTCATATTCAGACATTCCCAATAATAATATTAAGCATTTAGAAATATGATACATTTGCAGWTTTTAACTACCTAATTACAAATAATGTACTTATTATGTGTAGACAGCAGAGGTAGCAATAATTWGTTCATACTTTATACATCAGTAGAAAAGTTATACTATTATGTTAGAAGTATAAATTACTTACGACTTACTTCCCTCAAAGGGCCAATGAAATCGTCGTGTTGTTTTAAAAAAGAAGTTATGGCGTTGAGAAATGTTTTTTTATTAATATGAAGACAATAGGTATAAGAAAATATTAAATAGTAATAATTGTCAGTTGTAATCTATTAAAATAATACGAAAAAGATAAATTTGAAACTATGGAATACGAAACGAKGAATGAATTGTTTAAGATTTACAATAATCGGTATTGAAGAAGTTTTAAATTCAGTGATTCAGAAGTAATAACCTAATAACTGGTATATTTGGCCCGATTTGGATACGGATGAGTCCTTTCGTCCAAGAACTAAGAAGAGATGAAATTTCGTTCGTAATAATAAGCGCCACCGACAGTATGGTTTCAACCGAACACACTTGCGGTATACCCTGGAGGACGAGTGACCATGGAAAAAGGACTATTGGAACGTTGGCTAACCTGTCTGCCAGATGTCTGTCTCGCTCGTTTCCCTCGTTTGGCCTATCTCTCACTCCCGCACTGCTGTCCTTGCGCGCTGATAACGCGTTTGTTTGTGTTTTGAATATTATTCAATTATTGTGTTACCGTAATTGCGTACCGCGTTGATCAATCATTYGTGATTTGTTATTGTTACGCACCGAAAGTTGAAACACGACGGCCGACTGCTGACAAAGACAAACGGACAAACAACACYGCATTGCGCACGCGGCAACTACGTTTTACCGGTTTCCGCGTTTTTTCGTTCCGCTTCGATTCATCTCGACGTGATTGTAGTTAACCGATCGGTTTTTGGCTGAATCCTTTTTCCACCAAACGTGCATGCGCGTGCGATTCTCCTGTAATCGCTCCGGTGCGCCGACAGTCATTGTTAGATACGTAAGACAAGTCTGTTAAATGATAAGCACGGGGGGGAGATGTAACAGCGGTGGCGGCGGTCGGGTCTCGGCAATGTCCAAAGAGTGTCGGATCGTAAACGGCGGTGGCGGCATCGTCGTCGGYGGATACGTGAACCACTGCGAGGAGGTGCTCGGCGACCAAAACGAAATGGTGATGGCTGCGTCTAAGATTGSSGTGGTCGCTGGCAACGATCAGACGGTGGCYTCCATCAACCATCGCGTCTACCCACCGTCGACCAATGAGCTGGGTAAAATCAAGGACCTGTCTCTCGGCAATCTCATGATAATAGAAGAGTACGCTAAAACTGTGGCCCTGAAAAATGATCAGATATTATTGTTGACAAAGGAAGTGGACTATGTGAGTGACCATTTGAGAGTTGCCTTTAGTGATTTTAAAGTTAAAATAAATTATATTATTATAATATATTATACAGCTTGGATTAACATTATTTTAACGGTTTGTTGTACAGCTTAAGCAGAAGTTGGCAGAAGTTAAACAACATTTAGCTGATAGAGAAGAAAACTTGGATGTTTTACCATTCACACCAGTTTCTTCGACGTGCTCTTCTGGCGTGGGAGATTTGAGTTCTGCTGAACTACAAGATCAGCAAGAACAACAGGACATTAAACCTAAAAAGCGAAGGATTCGACAAGCTGCTACTAAACAACTGAATCCAGATCCGTTAGAATCCAACCGGACTAAACGGCCAAGAACTAGAATTACACGAGCTAAATCAGGTTGGTTTTAAAAAAAACATAATTTTTCCCAGTTAGCATAATTWTTATTTATTTACCATGTTAGCTAAAATAGGTAAAATGCAAGAGTTGTCTTTGATCACTGCAGATGATGCATATTACACATGCCTTGGAAATTATGATCCTATAAAAGATGAACCAGTTTCCGAAAATACTAATAGTAATTTAGAAGTAAGCATTTATTTAATATGTGTATAGTATAATAAACATTTAATATTGCCCTAATAACCTAAGCATATATTATTTTGTAGATACCTAGTTGGAGAGTTAAAACATATTCTAGTTGGTATTCTATGGAAGGCACTGAAAATATGTCTGATGATATCTTTGAAAGCAGACATTATAGACTTGAACAATGTGAACAAAAACGAAAAAGGTAATGCAATTTGGTATAGATTGGTTTTTTGTGTGCTTATGTAGGTAGTATTTAATTTAAAAATTTTGAATTGTTATTTCAGATGGGATTTGCAACGAATTAGGGAATTGAAACGAGTAGAGTATTTAAAAGAAGGCCGTAATAGACACCATTCACAGAAATCTAATGACAATAATAAAGAAGAATTGACAACTTTATTGCCCAGTCCATCRAATATTAAAGCAATTGAAATCACAGATAAATTACCTGTGTCTGCATTTGGTAGCAATTTACATATTAAAAAGAAACTTGAAGTGTTAGTACCTACTAATATTATTTATTAAGAACTTATTTTGCYTAATTYAAATATATTAAATATGATATGTTTTATTATATTATACTTATTAATGTTTAATTTACTTACATAATATATTTAATTTAGTTTGAATTCAAACAAACATGCAGTTATTAATCTATATACATTATGGACATTTACCAAATTCCAACCTTGTTGTGTTACAGATATAAATTTTGTCACAGTCAATGGTGTAATGATGGATCTCAAGTGCCAAAAGAAAATAATATACGTGAACTCCGTTCTTCAGGTTGTAGTCAATTTTATGACAGCATGTAAGTTATAACTTTCATGTAATTTTTGTGACAAATATAACAAATCTGGACTCTTCCGCTTAAACCATTTGATTATATTTTGTTGTATAATGTATAAAACTATCTTGTATGATTTACAACCAGAKACAAATGTTGTGATATTTATCTAGTATTTAGGATATTATATTTTCTTTTTTTTACTTTATTATTCCTTTATAAATTTTATTTTATTTTGAAATTGTAATAAGTATAATTTATATTCAAGTGTTGCAAATAATAAATATAGTACCCTGCTAAAGTTCTCTAAATAGCATTTTCAATCTGTTAAAAAATTAAATTTATCATCTATTAATTAGTCATAAATGTATTGTATTTAATATATGATTTTAATRTGTGTGTCACCATATCATTTATTATCTATGTTTTTTAAAAGCATTTCCTGGCTAAGAATAAGATGTCTYTGTAMTAACCTACTTAAAAATTGTCAACATAAACCGGTGTAATTTATTTTTATACCTGTTTGTGTCCACAAATTTCTGGATAGTGTTTAGTACTTAGTAGGAGCTTTTTTAAATATAATTTATTTAATACCTGCATATAATATGCTGTTATAATATTAATGATGATAACTGACTTAAAATAACCATATCTGTTGAAAGTTTAGCTGTAACTAATAAACAAATTTATCACTAAATAGTAATTACTGTTAGTTAATTTGATTTCTGATAGGGCTTAATACCAATACTTATTACTTAAAGAAGTTGCTGTATTAATTAACTATTTTTTAAGCATTTATTGCACTTTATTTATTTTTATTAAATTACCAATCAAATCTCAGTTAACATAAACAGTGCTTCAATTTCATTTTTGTTAGTATATATATAACAGTGAGAGCACACTATAAGTGAGTAATATGGCCTAAATATATACCTAAMCTAACCTATTATTGTCTCATGATAATGTTATTAATATTATAGATGTTGATTTTGAATATTATTTTCGTATAATAGCTAGAAAGTAGAACTATTAATTTTAAAGGACAAATTAACAATATTTATTTGAAATTATTTCTTAAATATTTTATTGGTTGTTGAATCATCTGAATAAAAATATAGATACTGAGTCGTGATGGTGTATGTATATTATAAGTTTTAACTTCAATGTATTTTTGGTTGAGACTTAATTGAGAATAGTGCCAAAAGTAAATATCAAACATTCAAACTAGAATTATTAAGAGAGAAAAATGTAGGTACCTAATTTTAATTAATTAAACAAGTCAATATTTTTAATAACTTGTGTTTTATGTACAAATACGCTTGTCATAGCTTTTGTATAGGTATTTATAGTTGTCTATATAATAGGTATTATTTTAAATTAAATTAAAAACATAAAAAATAAATTAAATTTTCTATATTGACATGTGTTGGTTAAGTAGAATCAAAAAAACCTGTTCTCTAGTATGATTTTTTATCTTGTGTTTTTTCAGTGAACAATAATTTAAAGTGACAAAAACTATTTTATTGTATTCTGGCTAACTATGACAGATGAYGTAAATTGCCTCAAGCTTTTAGACAATAGGTAACAAGATAAAATGGTCATCTATAATTTTATTGCTAATTGGATTTTGTTAAATTTTGAATTATTTCTTTAGTTTCCAAAAATCATTTCAACTAAAATATATAACATTTTTGAATATTATGAATCTACAATCTATATAATTCTATTATTATTACTTAAATTTGTTATAATGTTTATATAGTAAAAACTTATTAATATTTTTTTAATTCATTATTATTGAACTTTAAATTTATAATATATGTGAACATTTTTATATGGTTAATAAATTAAATTTCAAGTTTTGCTTAATTTTTTTTTTGTTACCTACCTGTGTTAAAAAATTTAAATACCTAATCTGTGATACTTTATTAATATATTATATTATTTGGGATGGTACTTAATTGGATTGTAATATTCAGTAAAGTGTAAGGTATTCATGTTGAAAATTTTTTACTGTTATTCAAATTCATCTAGTATTGAGAAATGAATGCAATTTTGCCCTATTTAAGACAAAAATTTGGACTATAATGGTTTTTGTGTAGAGTAAAGAAGACAGAATGATGTATCCGTTTGAATGTCTTGAAATATTTTATTTTATTTTTTTTTTTTAATGAGGAAATGTGAAGTAGGTATTTTATTTCAATAAATTAATTTTATGGTAATTCTGAATTGGTTAAATATCATTGAAAATAGGCAGTTTGTACATTGCTCAAGGTAATAAAACCATAAAATAATWATTATTGATATTACTGATATAGGTAGGTAGGCTACCAATATAAAATAAATTATAATAGATTGAATTTAGGTGTGATTGTCCTACACTATAGGGTCTATAATATATACAATCAAATAAATATATGATTTTTTTTTWAAATCTGTTTATACTTTCAAAATAACTTAATAAATTAAATATATAAAAATATATAAATAGTTATTTGTGTACATCAATATAATATATGTATAATGTATATTGTCTGAATGTGTATATCATCTATAACTGTAGTCCTGCACCTTAGAAGCATTTCCTGTGAACAATGGACGGGCCACTTTCGTCGTATTCGGTCTTCGAAATCCACATCTGTTGGAAAGTAGATAGGGACGCCAAGATGGAACCACCGATCCACACGGAGTACTTGCGTTCGGGTGGTGCGATCGTTTTGATTTTCATTGTGGACGGAGCGAGTGACGTGATTTCCTTCTGCATTCGGTCTGCGATACCCGGGTACATGGTAGTGCCTCCGGACAAAACAGTGTTTGCGTAAAGGTCTTTCCTGATGTCCACGTCGCATTTCATTATAGAGTTGTACGTGGTCTCGTGAATACCGGCCGATTCCATTCCCAAGAACGACGGTTGGAACAACGATTCYGGGCAACGGAAACGTTCGTTTCCGATGGTGATCACCTGGAACACGAGGAACGATTATAAATCAATAATTTTTATCAGGTAGCTATAAATCAACGACTCAYTAGTCAGGGCTGGGGGATTCGTTGGTCATTAGTCATAACAATATTTAAACTCATAACTTACCTGTCCGTCTGGAAGTTCGTAGGATTTCTCCAGAGCGCTGGACGACGCGGCCGTCTGCATTTCCTGCTCGAAGTCGAGTGCCACGTAACACAACTTTTCCTTGATATCACGGACAATTTCTCGTTCAGCGGTAGTGGTGAAGCTGTAACCCCTTTCGGTGAGGATTTTCATCAGGTAGTCTGTGAGATCGCGACCGGCCAAGTCCAGTCGAAGAATGGCATGTGGTAGGGCGTAACCTTCGTAGATGGGCACGGTGTGGGACACACCGTCACCGGAGTCTAAAACTATACCAGTCGTCCGACCGGAAGCGTACAAGGAGAGTACGGCTTGGATGGCCACGTACATTGCCGGGGTGTTGAACGTTTCGAACATGATCTGAAAAAAAGTAGGTATATTATACACAATAAAATTATTAAATATAATATAGTGACTATTCCTTTCAGCTCGACATGACTAATTCTGTATTTAGTTAAACCTAGTCCTGGCATGCTAGTATATAAATACATATATAATATTAACATTTCACGTTTTATACCTTTTTTCTAAATGGCGTCACTACATGGGGGCCGAACTGTTTTCACACGTCTTTAACCCTCATTATGTGATCCCTCATTTGTATACGTTCTGTCTGCCATACGTTGAATGTGTATAAAGCTTAATTATCATAGGACTGACATTACTGGGGCTTAATACCATATAGGTAAAATGTAATGTATATTTTATATTGTTTAAAATTTTAACATATTTATTCAACTGACATCAAATGTATTGGATGTATATTTTGGACTCACAACCGCCCTGGATTCGGTATTCATTAATTAGTAATGAACTTCAATTGCAGATTTGCTGACAATGGATTGAATAGATTAACCAGTATTGCGAGTCGTGAGTTATAGACACTCAACTAGACCGTTGGGGTACAATTTTTTGGTGGGTGAAGTCTAGAAGTTCGATAGCACACTCCTTTACCTGTGTCATTTTCTCTCTGTTGGCCTTCGGATTGAGCGGYGCTTCGGTCAGCAACACTGGGTGCTCTTCGGGGGCTACACGTAGCTCATTGTAGAACGTATGGTGCCACACTTTTTCCATGTCATCCCAGTTGGTGACGATACCGTGTTCGATGGGATACTTGACCGTCAGCACACCCCTTTTGGACTGTGCTTCGTCACCGACGTAACTGTCCTTTTGTCCCATGCCCACCATGATGCCCTGCAGACATGCGCCACACATACATTATGTATAAGAAAAATATATGCCTCGGGTTATGCATATTATAACAATAATAATCGTTAATATAAATACCATCGGCCATTAGTGTAATTTACCTGGTACCGCGGACGTCCGACGATCGACGGAAACACGGCTCTGGGCGCGTCATCTCCAGCGAATCCGGCCTTGCACATACCGGAACCGTTGTCCACTACGAGAGCTGCTACGTCTTCGTCGCACATGATTACAGTTTTATTTTCTAGAAAAAATAAAAAAATTAAAAAACTTGTCATCGACTACCACGGCGTTGGCGAGACAAATGATAAAAACTCTATATAGAAAAAAATCCGCTCCTTCTCGCCGAGAAATATCGATTTTTTCGAACAAACTTTTACCTTTCGAAAACTGATGAATAAATAAATAAACGTGCAAACGGACGGCGTTTGCGTGATGCGATCGGAGAGTGGCGAATGTGTGTACACTGCGACGGCGGGCTCTCGTCAATTTATATAGGTACGTCGTACGGCCGTCTTGATAGCGTTCCCCGGTCGAAAGTGAAAATCCTCCGTGGTAGGGTTAGGGTTTACGTTGCAGTGGCGGCGGGCCCGACGACGGTAAAGGTCGTCCGTCCGTCATCGCCGACGACGCTAATACAATACGAGCGAGTTTATGACCATATCTGACGCGGTCAATCACGCTGCAGTTAATATAATTCCTTTTTCAGAGGCTTTCGGTCGGACGAGCGTACGATAGCACACACACACACATGTATATATATATATGTAGGTTCCAATATAGTCATACTCACGGACTGATAATATATTTATTATTATAAATATGCGTGTTCGTCTCTATTCCTTCCCTCCTTCCTGCCAAAGTGCAAAATCATTTGTTCGATTCTCGCGTGGTATCCTTTAAGGTTTGATTGTGTGATCGTTGCTATTACAATGTTATATTATGTATACCTATATAATACTCAACGAAAATCCTTACGAAAATAGATTTTTCTTCTATGCATTAAAATTGACAAGATTGATCTAAATGAAAAAAACGGAAACTTTTCAAATTATTTTTCGGTTAGAAATTCAAAAAAGTTTTAATTTCCATAGCTTACATTAGAAATTTTCATAAAAGCCAAAAGGTCTACCTCCACAAAATTTCTACCTTCAACTATCAAAAAGTTAAACGGAAAGTAACATTTTATGAGTGTTTTAACCAATAAATGTTTTGTACCTATCTATTTGGTATTTATAGCGGTAAATTAAACGAGTTCCCATTAATTGAGTTTGATATTTTATTGTAATTCCAAATCAAAAAACTGTTGAAACTTAAAATTTTTACAAAAGATTTATATAAGAATTTTCTATACATTGAAAAATTTTCAAAATATTTTGTATTTCTTTATGCTATTTATAACCGTGAGAAATTTTTCTAATTTTGAGAATTATTTTTCAATTAAAAATTCATAAAAGATTTACTTTTTAATTTTTATAGCTAACATTAGTCATTTTAATAAAAGAGTCCTAGAAATGTTCTATCTTTATAAAAAATAAGTTTGGAATAATAAGAATTAAAATTTAAAAGAATTATAATTTTGAATAAATAAATTATTAAAGAATAAAAGGCGGACAAGCATGTTTGGTTAATAATAATATGTCACATAAATACATAATATATAATATATTATACGAATCTTCAATTCACAATTTGTAAGACGCGTATTACCGCGCCTATAAAGTAAAAATATATGTACACATAAGGTAGATACATATATATAATAATAATAATAATACACAACTGTTTATGAGTACTTGACGATGCAACACATGTAGTTCATAATATTAAATTTGTTGTAACGGCCAATAGGTATATATAGGCCTATGTTATTATTACTCAACTAAAATGATTATTACTTTATTTTTTCAGTTCGATAACTGCAATGTGCTTACCTATCAGTACCTAGTATCTACAACCTACGTTTTATACGTATATAATGTTTAGGTAACATGTATTAATATGGGCTTGTTTAATATGCTTTTATTCCATTCCCCGTGAGGAATTTACTACTTACTTATAACTTATAAACTTGGAACAGTTGGAATTCAATCAAAACTTAATTTTTGTACCTACACCTATGTTATAAGTTATAATTTCTGAAATGTTTATATTTTATTTGATAAAAATATGTTAAATATAAACAATACGTAACGATGATAAGTAATAAGTCAACGAACATGAAAAAATGTGAACATTTTTCATCTCATAATGTGTTAGTATATTTACAGTGTTAGAATAATTTTGAAATGTATCTATATGTTATTATTAATTTTTTGATTTGTTGAGCACATTATCATGCATTAGTAAATTACGTAACTTTCTATCGTATTAAATTCTTGGC